GCCCCATGTTGTCAGGTATGCAGACACGCACGTGGGGCCATAAAAATTACTGAATACCATTTAGAGTTGCTGCAATAAAACTTCAGCTAAATTAACTAGCCTGCTGCATCATTTTTTCACTGTAATTTTTGGGGTGTCTTTGAATTCAGTCCTCTGTAGGTTGATCATTTTCATTTCCATCAAATGATGCGGCATCCTTTGTTCCTAACACGTCACCCAGTCCATAGCAGTAGAAATAAACAGCATTATGGTTTATTCCCATTGAGATCTGATGGGTTTTCAAAGTGTTGCTTTAATTTTTTGAGCACTGTAGAATAGAATATTCAGAATATTCTATTAACTCCACTAAGAACATTTAAATAAACTGAACTATTTGTTTATTTTCAGCAAAAAACAAACTTAAAAATTAATTAAACATTCAAAAAGTTGAAGTTGATTAAAATTTGATTCCTGGTCAACATCACAGCGAGCGGAGCTTTTGACCTCCCCAAGATGGCGTCACCAAATCATGCTAACAGGTGAAAGCGGTCAATGTGGGGTCTGCTCTGAGATTAGGAATGGTCTGAACCAGTAAGGGCTCAGGTTCTTCTGAGATTAACCAGTTTCTGTTTTCCTCAGCGATACCAATGAGCTCCTGGTCAGAATAATCTCTGCATAATCTGGGGCTGCTGGTGGATGCAGCTGTGGAAAACTAACTATTCAGTAGTTCTGGCTTATCTATGACAGAAAACGAGGTTTTGGCTTTTCAAACATTCAGATCGTTTCAAAAAGAGAGTATGCTGAAAATAGAATCTGCAAAGGTATTTCTGGAGCAAAGTCGGATCTTTTCAAACATGAAATTAGATGCACCAACGCACGGATGTAACCAAACATTTAAATGAAAATGTTTCCTGAAAGATGATGAATAATCAACAAAGCGTTGGCTGAATGCATGAAGCCTGCAGGCCCTGAGCTTTCTGCATGTTTAAATCTGAGCCGTTAACGTGCTGTACGGCGGTAGAAGGCATATGCCGTCCGTTCTTATTGATCAAGCTGTGGATATGTGTCGCAGTGACATCATTAATGGCAGGCAGAGGCACGTCTGAGGAGCAGTGATGGCTCAGGGTGGAGTAAAGTGGCTTCATAGTGCTAATAAGGTGTGATAACCAGGTGATGGATGACAGGAAGAGGCTGGTTTTCCAGTGATATAAATGACATCACTTTGTCGTTGTTAGCTTTAGCTTTTTCTCTGCCTTAAAGTTTTCACAGAAGCCTTCTGAATGCAGGCGTCCGCCCTCAATGTTGTTTTAGTCTTAGCCTCCATTAGCTGCTCCGTATTCTCTGCGCCTCGTTTCGCCATGATGATGATTTTTCAGGTTTGTTGTGATAAAACCAGAAACTTTCTTTCCTCTGGAAATCCAGGCTGAACAGGATTTAAACTGCTATGCTGTCGTCATCTAATACCCCGAAACCCGACCGCGCTGGTGAAGACATGCTTGTTTATTTACACTCTGGCCAAGCCTGGGTCCTGATAGTAAGCAGGGTAGGGGTTACTGTGCCTGAATAAAATGCCACCAAATGTAATGAATTTATCGGTATTATTATTGGAAATGCGATAGATGTCAGGTCTCCCTAGTTTCTGGTCCTTTGGTTTTATTCTCAGTCGGGACGTTTGGTTTGACCCTGAATGTCTGAGAATCGGACCGAACCGGATCAGGTCCGTCTTTGGTCGTTTATTTTGGTTTTTTAACGTGTCGACCTTTTCACGCCGACTCTCTGATATCCTGTGTTTGTAAAGCTCCCGTGGAGAACGGCGACGCAGAGATGACGGCAGAGGAGCCGTGGGACCAGAAAGACGAAGAGCCGACGCAGGAGGAGCCGGGAGGCGGTGACCGAGGACCAGAGGAAGCGGCCACGCCGGAGGACACGCCTCCTGAAATGATGATGGAGGAGGAGGAGGAGGTGTTGGTGCCAAAGGTACCAGCTGTACAGCCAGACGCTCCCAAGAAGGAGCACATCAACGTGGTTTTCATCGGACACGTAGGTCAGTGCTGCACCCGGGGGGGGCGGACCTTTGATGGTTGTTCTGGTTAAATAAAGGAAAATGTTGGATTTGCTCCTCAGACGCTGGGAAGTCGACCATCGGAGGACAGATAATGTGAGTCATTGTTCAGAGTGGCTCTGATTGGCTGATTGGCGTCGCTCTGACCCCTCCCCCATCCTGTCTGTCTAACAGGTATCTAACGGGCATGGTGGACAAGAGAACCTTAGAGAAGTACGAGAGGGAAGCTAAGGAGAAGAACAGAGAAACCTGGTGAGTGGAGCTCAGGGACAACATGGCCGCCATGGCGGCTCTCTATGACACGGCGCTCTGTCCTCAGGTACCTGTCCTGGGCTTTGGACACCAATCAGGAGGAGCGGGACAAGGGGAAGACGGTGGAGGTAGGCCGGGCGTACTTCGAGACGGACAAAAAGCACTTTACTATCTTAGACGCTCCGGGCCACAAGAGCTTCGTGCCCAACATGATCGGCGGCGCTTCCCAAGCTGACCTGGCGGTTCTGGTGGGTAGCAGAACCCGACCGCTCCAGCAGAACTGCTCACAAACTGGAATGTTCTGAACGGCTGCTGGTTCGTCTCCTCAGGTGATCTCTGCCAGGAAAGGGGAGTTTGAGACGGGCTTTGAGAAGGGCGGTCAGACGCGGGAGCACGCCATGCTGGCCAAGACGGCTGGCGTCAAGCACCTGATCGTCCTGGTCAACAAGATGGACGACCCCACAGTCGGCTGGAGCCTAGAGAGGTGGGTTCATGTCCCTGCTGCTGGCAGCTCAGTCTGCTGGGGTTAGA